GGACAAGTCCCACCTGATGGCTTTCGAGGAAGCACCATACTGTCATGCTCTCGACTACAGAGGCTGAGCTTGCCTTATGCCATTGTATGCAAAAGGTCAACTTCCTCAAACTGCTACTCAAAGAGCTAGGTTTCTGGACAACCACAACCAATGTTATCAAAGAGAACAATCAAATCTGCATCAAAATCGCTAGTAACCCGGATCTACGCGGACGATCAAAGCATATTGATATCCGTTGCCATTTTGCTCAGGAAAAGGTAGAACGACAAAAATTCAGCGTAGTTTACTGCAACACTAAATCATTGGTAGCAGACATCTTTACCAAGTCACTTCACAAGCATCAGCTCCGGAATTTAAGAAGACAATTAGGAATGCAATCAGCTTGCGTTGGCGTCAATAAGCGTCGGAACTGTCCTTCTCGCCCACTGCAGAAAGTCGTCCGGACGCCCAGCCATCACCCACATATTCACCATGAGCATAGCATAGCCAATGATGTCCTCCTTGAGCGATTCCTTCGGATCCCAGGTGGGGTCCCAGCTCTCCGTCCCCTTGTAGCCATAAGGCTTCCTCCAGACGACTTGGTACTTGGTACCTTTCACCGTATCCTTGAGATCCGAGAGGTATGCCACGGGCCAAGTCTCAACTTGAGCCTGTTCCTCCGGAGGCGTCGTAGCGCTGAGCCGGTAGCGGCAATGGATCGGGCGTGTCGTCGATATTCTCAAGGGTTGGAAAGCCGTCTTCCATCAAGAACCGGGGCAACCACAATGCACCGCAATAATTAATTTATCGCAGTCACAGACAGCCTGCATTGACACTGAGTATCTACAAGAGAAACTAGTTTTAATATCAATCCCACACTCATTAGCTTACCTTTTTTGGTCCCTGTAGCTGCTTTCGTCTACAGCGGAGCGTTGTGAGAGCGGCAATGCCGTTCCGTCGATAAATCCAACGCAGCCCGGGAAGCCCTCTGCAGTCATCACAACTGAAATTTCACGTCTTCTATCTGGAGAAGGCCATGATATCCACTGTGTGCGTACTGCTTTGGGAGCGTGTAAAACTCGAGTAGTATAAATGACGACTGATCCAGTAGCTATACGAAATCGTCAGTGAAATTCGCCGACGCTCGCGGCGTTTCCTTTTCACCGAGGCGGGCGAGTGTGACGGCGAGCTGTATGCACACAGGCCTCTTTTTATGATCTGCCGAGTAAAAAATGTCCTTGTGGTAGATATAGTCATGGAGAGCACCGAACGAAAACTTGGAAACCCGGGTCAACTGTCGAAAATCGATGTCTGGTAATGCCATTAAGGCATCAAACTCGACGCCACGGTGAGGCGATCCGACGCGATCTTAGAGATAGCGGCTTGTATAGACAGATAGGAACATCGCCCATAGTAGATCTGTCTCTTCCTCATCTTCAGTGGCGATGCTGATGGCACAGGCCGCATTCAAGTCGCGAAGAAGTTCACGCCACTCTGAGGTGTAAGGGAAACGAAAAAGGGGGAAATAAATCCCTTATAAGCATTTATTTGCCCCTTTTACGTCCGGATTCACCGTGGAATCACGTTGGTACAGTGCTGAAATCACAGTGGTACTCCTGGTGAAATACTGTCGTATTTGGTAGGCGTTCCCGCGGCCAAATACGACGCTTATTTGCTAAACTTGAAACCCCCTTTTAGTACCTTGTGGTAGCTTCGAAACCAAATTGGTGTTATTTTGTGCAAGGATGATTAATTTCATTACGCTGCGCCGCTTCGTGGAAAGGCATTATCCTATTAAAATAAATTGTCAGTTTTACTCTAAGTAGATTAGGGGGTGTCAGAGTTAGCGAAACACTAAAAATAGCACGTGTTGTTTTGGCGCCAAATGGCATGTGATTTCGCGGCACAATAGCGCGCTGCCTCGCTGCGATTGAGGGAAGGGTTTTAAAGTCGGATCGATGCCAAAGAAAAGTGAGAGACAAGAACTCATCCCAGAGGTGGTCGACCTCCCCGTTGTGGGTGGTCCTAGATCAGGAGTTTGACGAAGACCTTGATTGTCATGCGCCTGTGGACATGGGAGCAGCTGTCCCCGGTCGAGTCTAACGTTGAGGACCTCTTCGAGTTACTACAGATGATTTTGTCGCGACGCTACCTCTCTCCGAGAGCGAATATTCAACGAAGTCACGAATTTGCTGGCGAGTTCTTCATGATTTTACCAGACGACGAGTTCAAGCAGCTTACACGAATGACACGTCCAGCGTTTGATCGCGTCTGCCGAGAAATCCATACGCACAGAGTGTTTCAGAACAACAGCAACAACAAGCAAGCTCCGGTTTGGCTTCAGCTTGCCGTGGGTCTCGATAGATTGGGCACGAATTGCAATGGCGCTTCTACAGGCCAGAAACACCTTACAGAGCCTCGAAGTTCTGCTTCACCTCTAGCCAGTCGACGAGAACCTTGTAGTCGGCGAGAGTGAGGTGGACGTTGGAACCGTCGCTAGCCGTCGTGCTGGCTGTCGTTGTGGACTCTGTCGTACTCTTGGTCTCTGCATCAGCATTCTTAGAGGTATGGACGGGCGTCTTGGCCTTAGCCCTTCGTCGAGGCTTCCCCTTGGCCATCGTAGAGGCGCTCTGCGTTGTATCTGGAGCACCACCGAGGAGACCGCGGGGCGTGGTATTTCTTTTGCATCTTGTGATTTCGCGCCAAATCCAAATCACCCACCTCCGAAGGTGGGTGATTTCAGCAAACGTGCTATGTGGCCGCGAAATCACATGCCATTTGGGGCCAAAACCACACGTGCTATTTTTAGTTTTTCGCTAACTCTGACACCCTCTATTTTGGCGATTTAGTAGAGCTAATCAGAACCAATCAGGTCCACGGGAAATCTCAGAACCGGTTTTCATTGGGTATAACCAACACGAAGATCATCAGTAGTGCGCTTTTCCAATGCAAAACCGAGTATAAAGTCTCTACTAAGCTGATTCGGACAGCAAACAGACAAGCTTTTTCAGGCAGCTCTCCTACGGTGACAAAATATATCAATCGGGAGCATTTCCTACGTGGGTAGGTGTATTTTTACAACGGGATAGCTTATTTTAGAGACGTTGCATTCTAAAGTCAAGGTATTCTACATATCTACTTAACTGGCCTTTTACCTTAAAGAAAAATAAAATGGAGTAAAGCTGATTTTGGGCCGATAGGAATTTATATCCAGACTCCTACCTGGGATTGTAATGAGGTCAGAATCCTGATCTTATTAATCTCGATGTGCACGTGTAAGTATTAGTATTTCTGCAAATGGCTGTACTTGAAGGGGTCTGGAACAGGGCTCGGTAAATTTCAATAACCGTAATAATAACTGCAATAACTAGTTGACCCCCAATCCCCAATTTCATCCAATAAAACTTATACTACCTGTTTCTAAAAAAAACTATACAATTGGTGGTTGGTTTTCGTGGGGGCGTGTGCAATTCGCTACAGGAGAGCATTGCCATTCCGCAATTTGCCGAAACCAGAACAAGACCATTCTTCTACGACGCTCTCCACATGTCTTCAATCGCCCCGAGATCCCTTGCTGCAGCCCTCTTTGGCTCCGACGGCGATGAGTACCATCAGGATCGAATCTGTTTCTTTCGTCGGAAGCAAGTTCGTGGGACTGGGTGCACGAACCTGGTGGAACACCTCGTCCGGTGTCATGCCAACACCTACGAGGACGACAAGAAGGCAACCTCGATACTTTCGTGAAGGGCGATGAATTCTCCAGGACAATTTATCACTGGTTGGACTGGATCATCATGGATAACCGCAAACTAAGCATGTGCGAAAAGGTGAAGACGCGGAAGTACACTCGTTTGAACCGAGTAAGCACGAAGGCGCTGATGAAGAGCATGTTCGGACTGGAAAGCGTCGTCCAAGGACGAATCAAGTTGCTGCTGCGTGGCAAGAAAGTCGGCTTTGCCATAGATGCATGGACTGAGGAAGGCATGCATTTCGTGGCAGTCATCGGTGTAACTGGGGCCGACAAGTATCTGTTGTGCTTTTCGACTCTGACGGGCGAGTCGGACATGGGGTCAGACGTGATTATCGAGTTGCTTGACGACGTGTTAGACACGTACGAAATTCATGCCTCTCAGCTCTGCTTCTACGTGATCGATCACGCGTCCGTAAATGTAGCAATTGCAAACAAGACACTGGTTCCAATGATAGGGCGTGCTAGCCACCGATTCAACTTGGCCGTCCAAGCCCTCATGCGCGAGGACGACGATATATTGGATAAAGTCCATGCGCTCATGGTCAAGTTGAACACGATCAAGAACCGGCATCATCTCCGCGAGGCAGACGCCCTCATGCCTGTCTACCGTAATACA